CGAGCATAAGTAGTGATCTGAATAGAGTAAACCTACGGATACTAACGATCCTAATGTCATCAGGAAAAGGGTAGCCGAACAGAGTTTCTGTGTTACACTGACTTCGTGTACTACTATCCGCATCATAGATTTTTACATATATCCATAGTGCGAATAGTAAAATCTATATAATTATAAATGGTATTAAACTTTGAAATAAAGAATTTTTAAATGTTAAAGAATAAATGATGTTTCAAGAAAATTTAATATAATTTAAATCAAATTTATTTAACCAACAATCTCTTGGTCAACAACACCAGAAAACCGAATTACAGAACAATGTTATAGGAGTGTTCAAGACAGATACTATTCTTAGTTCTACTTGTTGTTTACGAAGTTGAGTAGACATGAAACATCAAGGAGCAGATATAATTTAGATGGTTTATCTTGGGGTTAAGTTTTGTCTTTCGCATACTTCTCAGGATGTTTAGTATTCAAACCAGAAGGGTATTCTAGTGCTCCTAACAAACGGGTCGGGTCGGGTTTGGGGTCATCTCACAGCAACCCGGGTTACGACCCGGGTTCATAAATTTGCGAATCTTTCAATAAACACTACTATTTTGCATTTGCCATTTAATAAAATAATACAAAGTTTACATCAATAGAAATAAAGTCAAGTTTAATTGAGGAAGTTCATTTGACATTTTAAAATATGATCGCACGTTACTCGAATGATAAATAAAAATAATTTTGTTTTCTCAATTTCATTTTTTTCAAATTTATTTTATTTTTTTTTATTGATCGTGCAATTATACGCAGCAATAGTTTATTTTTAACCATAGTTTATTTTTATTTTACGTAATTGCATATACATAATTAACGGATTATGTGCTGATTAAATGGGGTCGGGTTATCGAACGGGTTGACCAGTACAACCCCGTTTAATTAGGAGCACTAGGGTATTCTAAGAATAAGTAATAATTTAGTTATCTTTAAGAATATTAGAAGTTTGAAAAAACATTGATCCCCTATTTGGTTTTTAAAAAAATTTTGTAAAACATGAGTGATCTAGTTTATCTTCTTCAAAAGATTAATATATATTTTACTAAAACAGTTGGTATTATTTATTTTGCAAATTGGATTAACAAATATTAGTAAAAAATTATATGTTAAAGTATTTGGTAATAACAAACATATAAAATATATATGATTTTATAAATATGTAATTAATATGTAATTAATATGTAATTAATATGTTTCAAATATAATAATCTATTTATATGATGTTCTAAGATTATAAATATAAATTATTAATTTTTTACAGTCAATAAAATTTTTGTTTTTTATAAGATTTTTACTTTAATATACTAAATAAAATATAAATAAAATTAGTTTATTTAGTAGTATATAATTTTACAAGTCTAATACAGATTTATAATTATAATTATCTAAACAGGTAAAATTTTTAATTTTATTTTTTTTCATATTTCTTTTATTTTTTTTTATTGCTTGTAGATTTATTTTTTTATATTTTGTATTGTTTTTAAATAGTTTTTTCTTTTTTTACTTCTCTACAAGAAGATATTATTA